TAAAGGAGCAGGAAGAACAGGAGGCCCAGGGGACCCTGAGGTTGGCCTGACTCTGTAAAACCAGAAGGGGATGGAGGAGATTCGGACAATAGCACACCTTTGAGAAGGCCTTGGTCAGCCCAAAGGGGAGATCGGGGCAGAGATTATTCACAGAAGAGTCCTGCCCCAGGCAGAAATGGTGAGCCCTAGAGCAATGGTTTGATGGTGGTTTGTCTCCATGAAAACTCACACTGAAGCCTGTGGCCACTTGACCTTGGATTTTCCAGTTTCCACAATCATGAGCTGAGCAAAACTTTTTATTTGCCTTCTTTTCCCTCTTTCCTCCCTTCTTACCTCCCTCCCTCCCTTTTTTCCTTCCGTTTTTCTTTTTTGTAGTACTAGAAGATAAACCTAGGGATTTAACACGGAACTATATCTTTAGCCCTTTTTATCTTATTTTGAGTTAGGATTCACTAAGTCCCTAAATTGCCCAAACTAGGCTCAACCTTGTGACCTTCCTGCTTCAGCTTCCCATAGTGCTGGGGTTATAGGCATGCACCACCATGCTTAGCTAACCCATTTGTCTTCATAAATTACTTGGCCTTAGGTACCCTGTTACAACAACAGAAAGAAACCTGGGACACTTTGTTCACAGTGTCCTCCCTGGAGGCTGCCCAGGAAGCACATATCCTCAGCTCGAACACTGAGGCAGATCCTCAGGACAGCCACAGGTCACAGGCTCTCTCGGGGGAAATCTGGTTCATACACTGCTTTAGTACCTCCTTATTAGCACTGGAGTCAAGGGCATTGCACTAGTCAGCTTTCCTGCTGCTGAGACAAAAATGTCTGATATGTACAATAGAAAGGAGGAAACGGTTTATTTGTCTCACAGTTTCAGCTGATGATCAGTGAGTTCCAAGACAGGAACATCACAGCAGAAGGGAGTGGTGGAACAAAATGGCTCACTTAGGATGGCCAGCAAGCACAGTGCAGGGGAAAGATGCCAATGAGAGACGCACCCTCCAAAGTCACCTCCCCCAGGGAACTCCTCCATTGGGACCCACCTCCTAACTGCACATTCAGTGAACAGCATCAGTGGGCTAATCTGTTAACAAATACAGCACCCCATGATCCAACCACCTCTTAGGAGTCTCTAATCCAGTTGATTTGACAAGATTAATTGGCACAGGTTTTAGGGAATTGTAAGGCAAGATTCAGACCAACTTTCTGTCATGGGAGCCTGTGTCTTCTTGTACACCAGTTGGCCTATAAATTTCAATTTTAGAAGATAAATAAACATAGAATCCATGATAAGCCCTATTGACTGGAAGCAGCTGCCTGCACTCTGTGTTGAGGAAGGTTCTAAGGTTGCTTCTAGATTTAGCCAGGAATTCCATGATTGATTAGTGATGTCTGTCATGGTTATAGCTGGGGTAAGTATATACATGTATGCCAAGTATTTGGTATCCTTATGGTAGGAACACATACTTATTGGAGGAATGAATATGTTCTGAATCTTGTAACAGTCTGCCTAAACTAGGTAACTCCTTTCTCCAAAGTGAGCTTGTCCCCTGGTGAGGTTCCTGGGAGCCTTAACCGTAGGTAGAGCTGTCATTTACTGAGGATCTATTATATACCAGCCACTCCTTTAAGCCTTTTCAATCCATTATCTCACTAGGTTGGCACAATTCCCTCCCAAGGAAAGATTATAACATCCATCTTATGCTGAGAAAACTGACTCCAAGACGGGATGGATCTGCCCAAGGCCACAAAGAAATCAGCAGGGAAGCCCATTTCTATATCACTTCCTCATTTTCCCTACTCCACCGTTCGTCAAACCAGTGATGGATTTTGTTATTTTTCAAAATCTAGTGTAGCAATTGGAACATGGCTTGATTATTCATTTGCCAAAGGGAGAGGAAGTGAACATTTAATTAGTCCTTGGAAAATCCTCTGGAAAGTCCCTGAGAGATGCATCAAGTGCACTGCGGTAGTTAAGCCTGTGTGTTTAGAGACCGATTCCACAGCCCTCAGCACCTAACATAAACAACACAATTCCATGCCTTACCTATTAATTCTGCTAGGTACCAGGCACGGTGCAGTCTTTCACATTCATTAACTTATTTACTCTCCACAAGGGTCATTTGTGGAAGTATTTTGTTTGCAAAAGTGAATCCGAGGCACAGCCAGGTGAACTTCCTTGAGGTCACATATAATATGAGTCCAAGCAGTACAGGTGTTGGCTGCACAGAATTGCTTTACCGTGTCAGAAGAGCACAGTTTTGGAAGAACATGTGTGGGCACAAGACTACGAAGGGGGCTGAACAGCCCAGGAAGTGGGCTGTAATGATACTTGTTTATAGACCATTTCATGCCAATTTCCTCTTGCTTCTTATGCTATCTGATTTCCTCTGGGGGATTAACTATTCGTGGTATGTGCAGTCTTAGCTAGGCCTTAGGCACCTGGCCCCGTTATAATCTGCCTTTTAAGTCTTTAAACCAAGCAAGGAGTGACACAGAGTACAAAACATGTTGGGATTCATTCAAGTAACTTAGTAAAGTAGTTGATAGCATAATTTCCAGAACTAGTTAGCCTTGCCCAATTCTGAAATCCAGAGTTTACTGGCTATCTGACACTAGGGAAGCTGTGTAACCTTTCTAGGTCTCAGCTTTTAATTTCTATAGTAAGGGCAATAATTGAAATTACTTTATAACTTATACACTTACAAAAGTATCTGACACTAAGAAAGTCCTACTTTGGTGTGTTTGTTGTACACCTTGTAACTTTGTCAGTCTTCAAGGGGTCCCACCTCATTCTTGCCAGTTCGTTTCCTCTGGAGTAAGCAGCTTGTCCTAGAAAAATGGGCCTCCAGCCTTCTTGCGATTCTGTGAGCATCTGACAGGTTTTCTGTCACCTGCAACTCCAGAACACTTACTGCAGGTTAACCCTGTGTCACTGCAAGCTGGGTCTCTGAAGCCTCCACAATCCCCAACCCTAGCTAAATTCTTCACCAGACACCCACAATTTTATTCTCTACTAACTGGATGAACCATGACTACGAAACCATCCAGGTTGCTTCCTAAGTTGGAGAGGCCTGTTGACTGCCTAGTAAGCATTATCAGGGTGAGCCTCTATTCTGTCTGCCATAGCAGAACTATCTGGAGGATTATTCATCTCTAATAATGAGCAAGGCAGGTCCCAGGGAAGTAAAGGGACTCTCAAAAGTCACTCAGCAAGGTAGTACACGCCTACCTCAGGTTCTCTCTGCTAAAACATTGGTGTGAGGTGAGTTATGAATAAAGCTTGATTTTGAACTCAAATGGTTGCCACTGCTTTCTCCCTTTTCAGCTCTTCACTGACTTCTCATGTTTTTAAGTCTAATATTACCTCAGACCCTTTGCACATGCTCTTCTCACTGCCTGGAACTCTGCCCCCCCCCCACTACCACAAACACACTTTCCTGAATTCCTCCCCTTCTGTCAGACTAAGCCCCTCATCCCCTTCCACTAGTCCTTGTGATACCCCTACAGTTGTCTGTGTCAACATCTGTGTCTTTCCTTCTTCTTAACAGTTCACTCCATTATTTCTCTGTTTATCTGTTTCTCGCCTGTCTTCCCACCAGATCGTACAGTACCCAAGGGCAGGGATTTTATCTGTCTTGTTCTGGCTCAGCACTTGGCACAACATTTGTAAACAAATCTATGAATCCTTGAGTCATCCAACCAGAAGTGACTTTAACCACTGTTTAATTCATCTGTGCTGCTGCAATAAAATGCCTTACACTGGGAAGACTTCTGAAAAACAACAGAAATTTGTTTTTCACAGTTCTGGAGTCTGGGAAATCCACGATCAAAGCACCGGCAGTTTGGGTTTCCGTTGGCCTTGCATTTTGGCCCACAGATGACACCTTGTGACTATGTACACCCACAGGACGGAAGGACGGAGGCAGCCCTCCGCGTCTCTCTGTAAGGGCACTAAGCCCACTCAGGAAGGCTCAGCTCCTGGTGATTACTAATCACCGAACACCTTTGCATTGGGGATGGGGCGGGCAGTGAGGGGATGGGGGTCCGGGTTTCAACACACGGATCTTTTGAATGTCTCAGACTATAGTAATCACCCTCTAGATCTCAGTCTACTGCCGCAGCTGCAGCCCTGGAGGGAAGGCGGGGTTATGCTGAGTCAAGAAGAGACGCTCACCAGCAATGGGCCACCTTCATCTGAAAGCCCGGGATCGGGCACCCCGCGCGAGGAAGCATTCTTGGATGGAACAGCGCTGGGACAGAGGCTGACTCTTCACTCCCAAATCTAAGAGGCGGCACGATCACGCTCACCCTCACGGGCACCAGCCCATTTCACAGATAAACAAACAGAGCCTATGAGTTGCTGGAAGCGGATGAGAGACTGGCAGGCAGCTGGACCCCGCGGTCCGTGGACTCTGAACCGGGCTGGGCCGGCGGGGTGCCGGGAGGCGGGCGGGACTGGCTCCAGCTCCTCCTGGCAGCGGCGCGGCCGTGGCCCGGAGGGGGGCGCCTGGTTCTCGTCATCTGCGGCGGCGGCGGGCGGCGGGCGGGGGGCGCGGCGCCGGCACAAAGGGGCCCTGTCCCGCCCTCCGCGCCGGCCCACGCGGGGCGCAGCTCCGCCGCCGGCCGCCCCGCCCCGTCCCTGCACCGCCCCCCACGGGTGGCCGCGCCGAGCGCACTCCGCTCACTCCCAGCGCAATCTCGCTGTTTCTCCCAGCGTCTCTGGGGCTCTCTGTCTGTCTGTCTGTCTGCCTGCCTGTCTGCCTGCCTGCCTGTCTGCCTGCCTGTCTGTCTGTCTGTCTCGGGACGCTGGGCCACTCTTTGGAGATGAGATCCTGGTCGTTGCCCCAGGCCCGCTGGTCCAGCTCGCTCCAGGACTAAGCGAGGGCCGGGGCTACACTGGACTGACAGACCACAGACACAGACGAACAGACGCGCACTCAGGAGAGAAGCTGTGGCTGCGGCACCCCATCACCATGGTAACGCCTCCTGGGGACTGGACCACCGAACACTGTCCCTTTCCTTTCTGCTGGGCACAGCCCTCTGGTACCCTCTGTGGGTCAGAGTAGAACCCCAGCGTGTGTGCTGAACTGATCCGCAGTACCTGGACCTTCAGCACCTCACCAGGGGTCGATGCTTAACTGCACCTCCCCGCCCCCCGTAGGGGTAGGGTAAGAGGGGTGCAGGAACCCATCTCTGACCATGTCTTCCCTGGCCTCTTCGTGGGCCAAGTGGACGGACTAAGATGGGATGGCTTGTAACGATTCAAGCTGTCTAGCCCACAGCACAGGGCTGGTCTTGAATCTTGACTCTTGAGCTATGCACAACACTTGGAGTACTTTTGCATTTTAAATTTGGAGCCAACTGTGTTATCCCAAAGTGGAATCTGGACAGAGAAGGAGGTCAAAGTCTGCTCCAGGGCAGCCCCGCAGTGCTGGGCCAGAGTGGTAGTGTGGTGGGGTTTTAAGGGTGCTGAAAAGAGAGGAGAGAATTGCTTACAGAAACCTGGTCTGCTTTGCTGTTACACTTGGATCTGGAATGTCAAATGTGTATATTGTCCCGGCCTGGGGTGCTTCCGTGGGAACTGGGTGGAAAAGTAGTCTGGGGAGGGGACAGAGGGAGGATGGTACCTCTATACCTGGGCTTTCCCAAAGAGCACTCTGAGAAGGTGGGGACACTGGGGGGAGTTGTGTATATGCACACTTGTGCCAGTATCTGGGAACAAGGAATCAAAGAAAAGTTTGTTTTCAGAGAATCCCAGCCCAGCTGCAGACAGACCCAGCAGAGCAGGGTGGATTCACAGCAGCAACTTTCCAAATCACAGGGGATTTGGAAAAGGGCTGCGAAGACAGGCCAGAGCTTTAGCCCTTGACTGTGGCCCACCATGGTGGATTTGTGTGTTTTCAGTCTTATGCACACCCACACATAACAATTCCATACAGAGATGTGTTCATACACACATACGTACACCCTGAAGCCCACTCCTGCTGACTCACACGGCTGAACACATGTGCCTTTCACACACACAACCTTGTTCACCTGCTGTCCCACACTGCCGGAATATGGGCATACATCTGCACACACAGGTGCACACTAGAGGCATACTGCAGAACCAGGTGCCCACATCCATATACCTGCAGGACTCACGGACACACTCATTGCTCTCAGAAGTACCTGAAAACATGTCTTGAACTGGCAACGTTCCCCTTTCCCTATAGGAAGGCCCTGTTCTGGGTGCTTTAAACACAGGAGCTCGTGTCACTTGCACCAGCTTTAGGTGTAGTCTTGCTTGTATCTGCACCCCAAGATGGGGACCGGACATTCTGAGAGTACAAGAGACTGTCCAAAGTCACCGCACCAGGAAGTGCAAGTTAGATGGGCACCCCAGAGCCACAGCCTGCACCAACCAAGCGTTCACCGCATCTCTCCTGGTCTTGGATCTAGTCCAGTTATTAGTTTTAGAATCTAGAAACTACTCACCAAACTCCAGACCTTCAGGTTAAGGTTCAGCCATTGGGATGCCCCTCTTGAGCAAATCTTGTCTGAGTGGCAGATTTTCCTCCCTGCTCTGATTTTATTTATTTATTTTGGAGTTTTTCCTTTTTATCGGTACCAGGGATCGAACTCACGACTGCCTGCTTGCAAGGCAGGCGCTTATGCCGCTGAGCTAAACCCCCAGCCCCCTCTGATTTTAAACATTAAAGCCCGCTTCTCTGATCTCTGTTCCAGATCTCTTATGAGCCATGCTGTCTGTTATCCCAGGGTCTTTACACATGCTGTTTCTGTTGGGAGGAACACCTTTCTCTGTGGAATTCCTGCTTACCCTGTAACTCTCTACCCATACATCACCTCCTCGGGAAAGCCTTTCATGATTCGCCTCTAACAAGGCATGTCATATATTCCTCCCTTGTGACAACCATCATAGCTGTAACTTTTGTGGAGTGATTTGCTTAATGGATGGCTAGTGTTTGGGGCCAGCTCAGGGTGAGACACTCTTATACCAAAGGGCTTAAGACACATCCATTGTTACATTTCCCCAATTTCAGAGAACATTTTTTAAATATACACTCATTGGATAAGCAAGATATTATAAGGAAACAAATTATATGGTCAAAATTGTTCTTCAACTCAACTTATTTTATAAACTTAAAATAATCTGAGTAGGAAGCTTTGTAAGTAGACAGTAACTGTAAAAATCTGCACAATGAAGGCAGACCCGTGTTGGTAACCCTGCTAGGGAGGGTGAGCTGTGGGCCCTTCCACCTCAGGATGCTTTCTCTATTGAAGGCGGTAATGAGGAAGTGCCCAAGGTGTCTTCGAGACACAATGTCCCCAGGCTAAGGCTGTCTCCTTGGTGTCCTCAAAGGAACTAGGAGGCAACTGAGTAGCTTTCCTGTGTGATTTTGCATCAAGTCCATGTCCACCCAAGATTGTCTTGCAGGCCGCCTGCAACAACACATCCTACGCTTCAAAAAAACAATGGGTCTGGTTTAGTTCATTCAACATTGCCTGAGAACTGGCTGCATGGTGGTTCCCGTCCAAGCCTCTAGTGTATGCCAGGCCCTGAGGCCTCAGGGTCCATAGGGAATGGGGGCTTGTTTGCTGAGAGTTTTGGGCCATGTGATGGGTGGTGGGAAGCTGTCCCTCTCCTCACAAACACATGTGTCGTGAAAAGCTAAAGAGAAGAAGAGGTACAGATCCAGCAGGGCCGTGGAGGGTGAATAGGAGCTCTACTAGTCAGGGGAAGAGTACAATGTGAAAAACAAAAAGAAGTGTGTGCTCAGGAGTGAGTGCTTCCTTAGGTGGAGCCCAAACCATGGGTTCTGGGGTGGGGAGACTTCAGATGTACTGGGTGAGCATTTTCATTTTATAGTTTTTCATCCTAATGAGTATTAGGTAGTAATTACCACAGCACAAATCATGACAAATAACAAAAATCTAAGTTGAAAACAGACAAAAAGATAAACACTAAGTAAATATTAACTCATAAATATTAAACAAATAATATTAAACAAACCAGGGCATGTGGACATAGCACGAAAACCTTGTGTCCGGGACACACAGATGACTGGGAAGCCCTGGACCAGAGCATGAAGAAGCAGGAGAGGTTAGCTGAGAGCCTACGGCCTCGAGCACCAGACCAGCACCTTGTTAGGCAATAGGGATTTAGCTCAGCGGCATAAGCACCTGCATTGAAAGCAGGCAGTCGTGAGTTCGATCCCTGGTACCGATAAAAACAAAAAAGACAAAAAACAAAAAACAAAAAACAAAAAAAACCCCAAAGCAATAGGGAGCCACTGACACTGCCGAGCATGGAGGGTCACAACTGCGTCCCTATGTAGGAAAGGCCATTGTGGTCTCCAAAGGGGAGCCTCGGCTGGTGCTCGGATTCATACCCCAACTTTATCACCCACTAACTGAGCCTTGGTCATAGTTTGCAAGCTTTAATATGAGAAAAGCCCAGCTTGTAGAACCGTTGGGGCGATACAATCAAATAACACGTGGAAAGTGCTCAGCACGGGCCAGACCCCAAAGACCTGCCCGGGAAGAAGTAGCTCTAGGTGTATCTGCTACCGTTGTGTGGCGTGGGTGGGAGACAGTGAGCCGAGGGCAGAGGCAAAGGGAAGAGGAGACAAATAGCATAAGGCTAAGGTGCAGAGAGGGGAAGTGGCTTGCTCCAGGTCACACAGATGAGAGGTGACATTAGACGTATGCTGTGACGGAGCTAGACTTGAACATGAGTCTTCTGGTAGCCACCCACCTGTTGGTTTAATGCATCTGGGCTGTTTTTCCAGTTTTCAAAAAAAATTTTTTTAATAAAGAGCCAATTCTTGCTCATACCTCCACCCACACACAAATACTAAAAGGGACTTAAAACAGTAGAAGTTTTAACTGGACGTGAGCAAGAACTTTCTGGCAGCCAGAAGCTGATTTTAGAATCTCAGCCTAGACGAGTTCGAGAGAAATGGCTAGATAGTTAAGGCTGGACTGGAGGTCATGACCTCACATCTGCCGGGCTGCATCTGGCTCACAGACACATTAAAAATCAGTAGGTGTGGAGTGCTGGGCCGAAGCCACACTTGGCCGATGCTGAGGGGGTGAAGTGGGCACTCAGGGTCCACTGGTCCACTCACGTTTGTTCCTGTGGCTGCTGGTGTAGACGCTTCTGAGGCAGGAAGATGGGTAAGAAAGACCTTTCAAAACCTTCTCACCAATTGAGGGTTATCTGACCCCACTTAGGACCCACATCTCAGGTCCACACCTTCTTGAACCTGCCTCTGTTGGATGTAGAATGCCCCCATTGGAAGGGGATGATGTACCCAGTGCCTCTTTTACAAGTGGGGAAACCAAGGCCAGGGTTGCCCGGTGAGTGAGTCAGGAGCAGACTTGCACCTTCCCCATGTGTTTCTCCCACAGCGGGAAGGGAGGATCAAAGGTAATAAATACTCCCCAGCTCAGCTTTTCTCAATCTGCTCTCTTTCCAAGCCAGAGGCAGCTGATGCTAAGTGAAACTAAAATTTTTGTGTGCTGGAATAAGTGGATAAATCTGGATCTTTAAGAAAGTTCAGCCCACATTAGGGGAGGCCCAGCTAACAACATCTGGTGAGACCATTTAGAAAGGCCCCAGTTTTAAAAATACACAAAATCACACTTTTATTCCCCCACCTTTATAAAAGCTATACAAGCTGCTTACAGAACATTTGGAAAATCCAGAAAACTATGAAGAAAATTGAAACGCTGCCTTATGAGACCCCTGCCACTCACAGCCCTTGGGGTAACTGCAGTTAACACTTCACTTGGCGCTCATTTGGACTGGGTCTGGGCTCATACGCATTCTATAGATCATGCCGTAAGGAAATTCTTCTTTTAAAAACTATAATGAAGAAGTGTTCTGGCGTGCAGGCCGTTGAGGGAAGGGGTGGAAACCTTTTTGTATGTTGATCTGGGTACTGGTACAGCAGTCTGCATATAATATCAACTATACGTTTTGTCTCTGTTTCATTTTGCTTGACTAAAATAATACGATGACAGTAATAATACAGACTCACTACAAAGACATTAACATAGAAGAGTATGCACACTGCTGCTTCCTGCCCAGACCTCACCCCTGTGAGCAGCTGGTTTCTGTGTCCTTTGGCACCATTCAGGGGTCCCCAAGTCAGACAGGAGGTCACGAGTGTCGTGCAGGGTCTGGTTCCGCGACTCTGTGGTCCGCACGACAGACCCCTCCCCTGGCCCAGCTTGCAGAGGGGGCTGGAGGGTGCCGTTGACTCTGGCTGGTCTTCCCTTCTTGCTTCAGCTTTAGACCCTACTCACTTGCTGCCGAAGAACAGTTAGAGCCCTGCCGGGCCGACTCACTGGGTAGGAATGGAAACAGGTCTATTGAGTTTCATGGAAATCATTTTGAGGGGCCCACGTCTGGCTGATAGTGTTCAGGTTCCTGTGGTTGAAGGCTGGGCGCCAGGTTGATTTGGGATGGCGAGTGGCCAGTGTTCTTTTTTGCAGCCACCGTGGTCTGCTTCATCATGAACTTGGACACTTTGGAGCCCCTGGGGTTCAGGCCTGTGGCAGGTAACGCACTGGCAGAGAGCACAGAGTTCTGCTAACTTGGAGCAGCCTCGCATTTTATTGGCTGCCCGTAAATGGTTACAGTGTGTGGAGAAGCGAGCCAACTTGTGAAGGCCAAGGGCGTCTCAGTCGGCGAGGCTTGCTCTTCAGAGGTAAACAGTTTCTTTAGGCGCCGCTGGAAAGTGGGAGGCACGGGCAGCTGCGCAGGCCACCCCTGTGGCTGGTGACGCCCTGGCAGAGCAGGCAGCAGGAGGCAGGAGGAGGAGGCTGGTTCAGTGTCTGGGTCTGGGTTGGAGCCTAGTAGCTCTGTTTCTCCTTCTCTCTGTGACCTTGAGCAAAGTTGCCCTCCCTCTTTCTCTACCTGTAAAATGGGTGTCCTTGCCTGGTACCAGCACAGTAGTATGAGCTGAGCAAGAGAACACAAGGTACCAGCCTGATGGGACGCAGATGCTTGGGGAACTGCTGTTATCACTTGGGGGGTGGTGGTGGTAGCAGATTCAGGGGGATGCCTGTCTTCACTCGGGGTGGGGCCGAAGCTTCTGGCCGGTGGGTGAACACAGATGACAATAAGAACAGAACCTGCAATACCTTTTGGTTTTCTCAAGACTCTCTGTGCGCCTCAGTATCTCCTTGCATCTCCAGGACAATCAACTGAACAGGATATGATGGAGACTAGAATTCCACTTACAGATGGGGAAACTGAGGTACATGGAGGCAGACAGCGTGTATGTCACTGTCTCCTAGAGGTTGGATGCTGCTGGTAGTTAGGATATCAGATGTATCACAGACATGAAGTGAGTGACATGATAAATAGTTATAAATATGTACAATATAAATAAAATTCATATAACACACTGATGTATTTGTATTCTATCTGTACCAGTTGACACAGATTTTTCCTCTTGCAGTGGTGATGTGATAATATGTACAATAAGACCACAAAAATAACAATGATGGCTCGTACTTAATGAGCACCTACTAAATGCTAGTCCTGTGCAGGAAATTTCCATGTATACTCTCACCGAATCTCTACCAACTATTTAAGTGAGATACTGTTACAATCTCTATTCTGTAGATGAGGACATTGAGGCACAGCGAGTTCAGTAACTGTCCAGGTCAAACCATCAGTAAGAGACAGAAGCAAAACCCTGAAAGTGTGGCTGGGTTTTGTCTGTGCAGTTTTTAAAAAGTGGATCTGAAGAAAAACAGAGTAATAGTAAGTACAAAGGGCATGAGAAGAAAAAAAAAAATCATGAGTGACAGTGAATGATTAACTTTCTCAAAACAGAACCAACTTAACCCGGCTCAATCTGCACAGAGAAGCGAAGCCCAGAGAGGGAAGGGACCCACTCAAGGCTGCAGGGCGAGACAGAAGCCAGGTGTGCCAAGGTCCAGCAGAGGCGGGATGGAGTGGGACAGTTGTGTGGCCGGGAAGAGGCCCGGCCCAGTGGACTTGGTGTGTGCTCATGGAGGGCAGGTGCAGGCCTCTGTCCCTTGCCCCAACACTGACTGCGGATTGCAGGGGTGGGCAGTGACAGTCTGACCTTGTGTGGTGAGGGCTGGGGCATTGGAAGAGGCCACCAGGCTGGACGAGCCTTTCCCTGTCCTGCCACACTGACAACCCTTCACCCCTCCTGGGAAGATGCCCTGTGGACATCAAGTGTCTGTCATCAGGTCACCCCTCTGAGCCCACTGCCACCCAGGGCCAGGAGGCTCTTCCTTCCTCAGGATGGGGCTGTAGACTTTTTTAGTCATTTATTCTGCAGGTTGTGAGGGAGGCCAGCCCCGTGAGCTCTGGGGGGAGAGGGGCTTGGGCTTCTGTCATGTCCCTCCCGACAATCTTGGACAGAGCAGTGTCCTGTCCTCCTGCTCAATACCCCCTTTTAGTTCCCAGTCTATCTTCCAAGGCCTCATTCATAAAGACGACCTTTCCCACCTGTTAAGCTCTGCTTCTGCGGGGTCTCTCTTCGTTTCCACCCCTAGCCCCTGAGCCACAGGGCTCCCAGCCTGGCTTCTCTTAGTTTCTTTAAGAGTTGAAAGTCAGAATTCTTCTCATTGCTGCAGCTTTTGGAAACCTCTGGCCTTGTCCAACTTGCCTGTTTTATAGGTGGAAAATGTGGTTCAAAGAAGGCCATTAGGTTCATCCTCCCCCACAATGTACTGAGCACTTACTCTGTGCCAGCCCCTTGGCAGGGGTGGAGGACCCAGAGCGAGGAGGAGCCAACGTGTGCTGTGGTTTTTTTTAATCACTGCTGCAACAAATGATCACACATGTACCGACCTACAGCGACGCAGCTGTATTGTCTTGCAGTTCTCTGGATATAAAAGCTGACACGGATCTTGTAGGGCTCAGATTCTGGCGAGAGCCAGGCTGAATTTTTTTCTGAAAGATCTAAGGGCAGAATCTGTTTACTTGCCTTTTCCAGCTTCTGGGAGCTGCCCACATTCCTTGGCTCTTTGTGCATGTTCGGAGCCAGCGCGTGGCATCTCTGTAATCCTGCTTTCATAGTCACATTCCCTCTCGTTCTCCCACTTTTGGGGACTCTTGTGAATACAATGGGCCACTTGTAGATTCCAGGAGGTTCTCTTTGCTGTATGGCCAGCTGATGAGCTTAATTCTAACTGTAACCTCAATCTGCCATTGTCTGCGAGGCAATACAGTAACAGGTTCCAGAGATTAGGATGTGGGCGTCTTCAGGGCTCTTCTGCCTGGCACACCTGCCCTTGTGGAGCAGCGGTCAGCATGGAAGCTGCTCAGACACAGGAAGAGAAGAGCTCAAGAGAGGGAACATCCAACCCCTGAGCCACGAGGAGGCAAGTTTAAGGTCAGAGAAGAGCTGGAGGAGACGAGAGATGTCCTGAGCCTTAAAGGACAAGGAGCCGGGATGGGGAGGAGGCAGGGGAAGGGACGGCACTCAGGAGGAAGGAACATGGTATGCAAAGGCCTGGAGGCGGATGAGGGAACACTGGTGCCATTGTAGCTGAAGCTCGGACAGGGGTAGCGAAGCTGGGGCTGAGCACAGTGGCCAGATCCTCCGATATTGGAAGCCTGAAGGCCAGATGCTTCTGGGAGGTAGCAGGGAGCCCTTCAGGAATGTTGAGCAGGGGTCTGACAAGGTCAAATTTGTTTTGAAGAAAGATCACCCTGGTGTCCTGGTGGAGGATGGCTGGAGTGAGGAAGATGAGGGGCTGGTGACCAAGGAGGAGACAATTCCCTGGAAGCGGGGGGTGGATGTCCAGCCTGGGCAGGGGCAGAGGACTGAGCACATTGGTGAACTCTTGGAGGAGGGGGGCAGAATGGGGCATGGCTGAGGGCTGTGGTAAGTCAAGAAGCTGCTGAAAGAAGCAGCCCAAAGAGCCTCAGAGTCTGCGTGGATGGGGCTATCACTGGGAAGGGACACAGGGAGAAGCAGGTTTGGGAAATTGCTAAGGTGTGATGTCTATACCTGAATGACAGTTTGGGGAAGTTGTTCAGGAGGCAGCTGGATGTATGAGTCTAGAGCTCTGGCTTATATTGTCAGTTACTGCTGTGTAACAAATCACCCCAAAGTCAACGGTATGAAACAATCACTTAGTACCACATCTGCACGTGGACCAGGAGTGTCTGATCTGTTCTGACCACCTTTAAGCTGTAGATCCGTCAGATGATGGGATTTGGGGAACTGACTCCTTTCCCTTAGGCCCCGACCCATATGCCTCCTCCCCATCAGACCTCCAGATGGCATCTGCAGCAGGTGAGGCAATGCAGATGTCTGAGACACGGTATTCTAAGCAGAGCCAGCAGCCAGTGTCAAGGCCCTGAGCTGGGCCTGTGCTTCATGTGTTCCAGGAATGGGAAAGAAGGGCTGGCGGGCCAAGTGATGGGAGGTGATACAAGAGGAGCTTAGAGACTTAGTAGGGGCTGTATTGACATGCCTGGAAGGTCACAGGTAATGGCCACTGGCCTTTTTATCACTGCTGCTATTATTTTCATCCTCTCTTCTTCTCCACAGGACCCTCCATCCCTCGATGCAGCCATCCAGCATGCCCTGGCAGGCCTCTACCCTCCTTTTGAGGCCACGGCTCCCATTGTCCTGAGTCAGGTGTTCCGGCTGCTGGACTCTGACTTCCAGGGGGATGGGCTGAGCTTCCTCCTGGATTTCCTGATCCCCGCCAAGCGTCTGTGTGAGCAAGTGCGTGAAGCCGCCTGTGTAAGTCAGCAGAGGTGCAGAGCCAGGGCCAAGATCCCCCTGGAAGGGTGCAGGGCTGCTGGGTGTCATGTCACATGGGTAGGGTAGTTTGCAAAGTAGTTCTCAAATGGAGGAGGAAGGTCACCTGGTCCTTTTCTCTCTGACCTCTAGGGGTCAGTGGCATCTGTTCTTTCACCAGAGGGAGGGAAGCCCATAGATAGGCATCCTCGGGGTCTCACTGGCACTTGGCCCGCATGAAGCAGCATCCATGGAAACAATAGAGAATGTGCCAGAGTCTCCCTAGAGCCCTCAGGCATCAAAGTCTTGCTTTTGTCCGTGGAGAACCCTTCAAACTCATATCTCAAGGAAACTGCTTCTGGGGCAAAGAGGAGAGAAACATACTTCAGATAAGACCTGGTGTCTGGAAATGACAGGATCCTCCCTTAGACCAGACCTGGCTAATCCACCCATCAAACGCCTGAGCACCCTTTCTGCCTGCCTGCCAGCATCATTCTTCCAGGCTGCATGCTCCAAAGCTGGGCCCAAGCAAGCTCGAAGATTATCTTCTGCCCTGGAAAGGAAAATGAACTCTTCCTTGGCAGCTGCAGATAGACTGTCAAAGAGCCAGGCATGGTGGCATTTGCTGATAATCCCAGAACTCTGGGAGTCTAAGGCAGGAGGATCATAAACAAGCCCAGCCTGGACAACATAGTGACTTAACAAGACCCTGACTCAAAATTTAAATTTTTTTAAAAAATGGCTATGGGTGTAGCTCATTGTCAATCTTCAGTGCCATCAAACAAACACCTCAAAGGAAGATCCTGATTGGCCAGATTTGAATCACATGTCCATTGCTAGACCAATCACTATGGCCAGAGGGATAGGGTAGTAGCATTGTGTAGACCAGTCATGAGCTTCCCTACCTCTGTGGCCAGGCAATGAGATGACTGTTTTAAGAAACATGTGGGGAGATCTCTGAGGGGGATCAAACTCTCAGAAAGACAGGACCGGAGTTGCACAAACTCCTCATGTGTTGGTCAACTGTTCCTACACTGCTGTTACTTAATACCTACCCCCTGCCACTCTATCTCAAGACCCCCAAAGAGCTTCTTAGGCCAACCAGCCTTTTCTGGGTTGCTGCCTGCACATCTGGAACATAGCTAGTGAGGAGTAAAGTAAGGGTGGGGACTGTGTATGTTGTTCAGGAACCAAGTTGGAGATGGTCAGGAGCAGGTGGAGGGATCAGCTGTTCAATGGGCACAGCACAGAGCCTGACACATCAGGATTTTCGATGCACAGGAACTGCACTGTAGGAAAAGGAATGTTCTCGGGGAACAGACCCTCCCCATCCTCACCAGGCACACAACTGCCACTTCCTGGATTGGGCCATTAAGGCCACATTTGCTGTACTACTTCCTTTGACAAGGTCACAGCCTTTCTGCACTTTTATTTTTAATTATAGGCAAACCCAGTTTGGCTGTAATTACAGGCAAATTCATGTCACCTCAGCAGGAGGTGCACTGTGGGATTTAGAGCAGGGCCTCTGGTGTCAGGTGCCCATGTTGGAATCCAGGCCTCATCAGCATGAACCTGGGGGATCCGTGTCACCTCGCTGAGCTCCAGTTTCCTCGTGTGAATTTTAATAACAGATTAACTAACGTACTGATGACACCACAGCTGGCCCAGAGCCTGGCAGCAGCAAACGCAGGTAGCTGTCGCTGGTTTTCTCTGCCTTCCTCATTTGCCTCTTGGGAATTAGAGTGCCAGCTCAGGATCTGCTCTCTGCCTCCATCACCAAGATGCACCTCCACTCACCTTCAGATGCAGCCTAGCGAGCTTTGGGGACAGACACATCACACTCCCATGGGAAGAACTAGGCACAGTCCTGCTTTTGCTACTTCTCAGCTGACTCTGAAGCAAGTTGTCTCCCCTCTGGGAGCCTCGGCAGCCACGTGTGTAAATGAGAACGATACCTGAGCAGCCTGCGTTACTGTGAGTCAAATAGGACAAGCACAGCTGTCACCTCCTTGGTGCTTTGTGGGGGAAATCTAGGCTGGGCTGTTTGGTCTCACCCCGGGAGAAGGCTGGCACTCTAATTTCCAAAGGGCAAATGAGGAAGCCAAAAAAATCCTGCAACAGCTACCAGGAAGACCCAAGGGCTGCATGCAAGGGGAGACATCATTCACGCTCAGGAGAGATGAGGGTCACGAAGGATCTGGAGGCAGCCAGGACCACAGTGCAACTGCCAGGAGCTCGTTTATCTCCTGGGGAGCAATCAACATCAGATCTCACTCTTCCCCCAATTAATAACTTTGGGAAACACCTGCTCCTTTAGTCACTCCCTGGGGATCTTGCACACATGCGTCTACATTGTGTAAAACTAGCACTTACTCAAACCAAAAGCCAGGCAGAACATAGGTGAGTACAGTTTCTTGTCACCGTTTGGTGCCATTGCTTAATACTGGTTCCAGGCAGCCTCATGGAGAGGAGTCACTCAGGTCTGGCCTGCTGCAGGGTGACTTGTGGTGACTGTCTATTCTGAGAATTTCTGGCACCTTTGTCTGATATATATTTGTCTCACTTGCCGTATTCATACCCATTGATGGGAAATTAAATAAATAACAAACCAACACATGATTAACATTCAATCCTGGAATGACTTTGGGGTCAGAATGAAAGAGTAAAAAAGTGGCTTTTCCAAGGTGGCCTGGTAAGCTAGTGGCAGGGCCGGATTTCCTGCCACAGTCCAGTACGGTTCCTACTTTGTGCTGTAACTGCTCTACTGAAAACTAAAGGAGGAAAAAAAAAAGCAGCAAATGACTTTAATATTCCAACATGGTGCAGATCTCAGGAGATGCTGGTGGCTCTCCCCCTGGGGCGGCTGCAGCCTGCCACACCACAGCTGCTTACCAGGGAGGTGAGCTCTTAATATTTTAACTGAAAATCCCCACAAATTTTTTAAAAAGGTAAGTGTTGCTAAAAGGAGAGGGAATGAATATTTATTGAACTTTTACCTGTTGTATGCCAGGCGTTGTATTGGTTTTCATGTCACTTAACCCTTATACAAAGCCACCAGTACTGATGTGTTTTATTGTTCCTATTTGCAGACAGAGAAATGAACACCCAGAGCAGCTAAGTAATGCACCGGGCATAGTTATTTAGACCTGTAACCTGGTGTCTTCCTGGCTTAGTGGAGGGCTAAGACATGAGCTGGGTTGGGAGGAATTTCAGATAGCTGGGGAGGAGGAGGCGTGAGCTGGGCAAGAAGATCGTCATGGGAAAGGCACTTGTTAAATAGAACCTACTCTCAGCGCATCATCCGTGGGGGCAGTAGACTGTTTTCAAGGTCAGGGCCAAGACTAGGATGAGACAAGAGAGGCAGCCCTCACCCAGCTCCAAGAGTGAGGGGCTCTGCAGTGTCACATCCTGCAGTCCTCACTGGGTCCGGGATTCCAGGAGGGACAGGGAAGGAAGCAGATCTAAGGCTGAGATCCCTGATGTGTCTCCTTCCCTCTGCAGGCTCCCTACACCCACCGCCTCTTCTTGCATGAGGGCTGGCCGCTCTGCCTGCGGGATGAGGTTGTGGTCCACTTGGCTCCCCTCAATCCCCTCTTATTGCGTCAAGGCGACTTCTACCTCCAAGTGGAGCCCAGGGAGGAGCAGTCTGTCAGCATGATGATCAAATGCCTCTCCTTGGACCTCCGTACAGTGGACAAGAAGCCTGTCCCTGAGTCATCCCACCCACTGCTTTTCACTCAAGAGTGGCTGGAGGCCATCAACAGTGACTTTGAGGGGAGTCCCTTGCACAACTGCCTGGTGGCTTCAGAAAATGGGATTGCCCCTGTGCCTTGGGCCAAGATCACCAGCCCAGAGTTTGTGGATGGTAGACCCCAGGCAATGACAGTCCCTTCACCTCCTCCGGACTCCCTTCCACTGGAGGCACTTGATTTGAGCAGCCCCCAGAAGCTGCACCTGGTCAGCTCCCCAGGCAGCCGGGCGCTTCTGGCCCAGAATTCAGTCAAAGACATGGAAAGGACATCTGGGAGCAAATATCCAGGACTTATCAAGGTGGAGCAAGCCAGGCCTGGGGAAGTAGCCCTCAAGATGGACGATGGGCTCAGCCAGGGCTTAGAGGGAGACTATGTGGCTCTCCTGGACTTTTCCCTAGAGAATGGAAGAAAGCCAAATCAGGAAGTGGAAGCATCTAGTGGGTGTGTTTTGGGCGCGCTAGAAGAGCAATGTGGGTCTAGGGAGGTTCCTCTGGCTCAAAGGACCCTGGCTGTCTCAGAGCCTGATGGGGGGCCTTCCTTGCAAAACTGGGACTGCGCAAAGCCAGTACACCCAGAGGAGGAGCCCTACATGTTGGGATCAAGGAGTAAAGTCAAGCATGAAGAGCTTGGCCACAACTCAGAGCGACAGCCCTGCCTTGGTGTTCCTGAGGAGCCACTGGACTGTGCCTCTGGATTCTGGGCAGCTGGCTCAGAAGACCCCACTGCCTCCAAGATGCAAGAACCCCTGGGAAACCAAGAGACCATGGTCCAGCTCAGGCCAGGACCAAGACAAGCATCTTCTCCCCGCCTTTCCCCAGCTTCTCCTGTAGGCCAGGCCTCTGAAACCAAGGTGAAGAAGACCAAGCAGGGAGACAAGAAACCTCCCAAGCCCACAGCTCACACTACTCAAAACACCTCCTCTCCCTCCTCCTCTGGGTCCCCCACTGCTGGGCTCAAAGTCTCCTTCTTAAAGGGGCAGAGGCGACTTCCTGTGCCCCAGGACAAAGCTTCGCTCCAGCATGACCGGCCCTGGAAAGTCCTGCAGTCACTGTATCCTTCTAAGCCACACCAAGCCAAAGCCCTGGAGAAAGGTAGGATGCCCATGTGTTCCACTGAACAGTAGCATCTGGATGAGGCCAGCTACAAGATGGCACTGGATGTGAAGGACGGAGACCCACCTAGGCTGGCTCAGCATTAGTGCTTTAGTACACAGTGTAGCCTGTTGAGAGCCTGGAAGTCTCAGGGGCCTGGAATTGAACAAGGCTGCGTGACCATGGCCAAGTGCCTCACCTCTCTGTGTTCAGATCCTGTGCAGTGGGATTCTCACCTACTTCACAGAGATGCTCAGATGGTTCAAAGAGATACTGGAAGCAAGGGGCAAACACAGTGCTTGGCTCGTAGGAAATCAGTGATTGTTGGAGGGTGAAAGACAAAGCATTTTCCCCCCAGAAAAGCCATCTTCTGCTTAACATGCTTCTCTTTGTTATTGTTTTTCCCCAGATGGAGCAACTCAGACAAAAACATCTGGACCTGTCTCTGACTCAGGCCTACTGTCTGGGAAGAAGGCTGGCTTCCCAGAAGCTGTGGCAGGCCCCCCAGAAAGAGCCTCTGGCCTGGAGGAGGAGCCCCCAAGGCCTGAGCCCAAGATTGAGACCGTGGCTGCTGAGGTCTTGCACTCCAGGATAGCCTGCCTGCCAGGTTCTGGGGGAGCAGATGGGGGAAGGTGGGAATGGGGGGGGGTGGCTGGAAATCCCAAGGCCTGCTCAGGTACTGGTGGGTGAAGAGGACATGGGAAAAGCCCAGAAGGCCAGTGTTTCATCTCTGGGCCTCAGTTTCCTCATTTGTCCATGAAGAATTTGGATTGGAGGGAAACAGTTTCTAGGTATCCATCTATGCATCTGTCTGTTTATCTGTTCATGGATCCGTCCATCCGTCAGATTTGTGAGAGCAAAGAGCTGTTGGGATTACTAGAATCAGAGCTGGCTCCTTGGGAATGTGATTTATTAGAGGAGGGGACAAGGAGGACAGTGCCGCCACGGAATGAGCAAAAGCTGTGGTCTGACCCTCGGGGGAGCTCTGGAGCCTGAACAGTGCTGAGCAGCTGCGCCTTTCAGAGCAGAGGGTTTGCTTTTACACCTGATTGGTTAGTCATTAACTGTGGACTGATCCTGGTGTGTCCATCATCTACAGACTGAGCCTAGGTCTGTCAGTTGTCAACTGTAAACTGATCCCGAGTCTGGGATCAACCGTAATCTGATTCTAGGTGTGTCAGTCATTAACTGCAGGCAGATCCTGGGTCTGTCAGCCACCAGCTGAAGCAGCCTGGGACAGGGCTGAGGGAGAGCCAGTGAGCCAGCCTTGCCAAGGGCAGGGATTCAGAGCACAGCCACCTGTGAGCCATTTGTTGCCCGTGGTTCCAGCCTCTGGGGAATGAGTTTGCTCTGCCTGGGTGGCTTTTGGCAAGAGCACCAACAGAATCCAATCCTGAAAGTGTTATTATTCCTGTTTAATTTTATTCAATAAATACTTACTGAGCCCTGAACTTAGCCCTGGGGATTTATTAGAAAGTAAGTTCAATATGCCCTGTGCCTTCAGGAAACCTATATTCTGGTGGTAGAGAAAATTCAGCAGGTCATAGCAACACAATGTATTGTGACCATAAGGAAGGGCAGAGGCTGTGGGAGCACAGTTGGGGTCCCGGTCCAGGGTTCTGATAGGGAGCGAGACTGGGGAGGCCTCCTGGAGAAAGTTATATAGAGTGCAGTCAGTCATAGAGTCTGAATTGACCAGGTGTTAGAACAGTGTTCCGGGCTGAGGGAACAGTATCTGCTGAAGTCTGAGGACACAAGATATCCCAGTGGCTTTTGGAACCTGTCCTGCAATTCTATTTTATTTCATATATCTCTGCAGGACCCTGGACATGGCCCTGTCTCTTTGCAGCTCCTAAGGGGGCACTTTTTCCTTGTTTTCTTGTTGGAGATTTGTTGAGCTTTTCAGTGGTTGTAGGTATATCCTATTTACCCCTTTTCCACCCCAGATACCTGATGCATAGCCCAGTGTGGACGTCACCATCTTGAGCTACAGTTCTGAGGTGTTAATGATCTGTTTCTGGCACCAGCTGTTAAGCAAGGGCAACATCTGGCACAGTGGGGTCATTAGATGGACAGCAGCCAGGACTGGCTGTGTGTGAGCCTTGATCAGGCAAATCCTAGTGGAGAGCCAGACCCACAAACTGGCCTCATAATCACTGAGTCCTGGTAGCGCGAGTGGCCTGGGTGCTTGGAACCTTTCTTTCAAAAGTGTGGTTGAGGAACTGATGGCTTCAGTGTCACCGTGTAGCCTGGGGAGATGCAGGATCAGGCCTGCTGCTTGGAGTCTGCATTCTGGCAAGATCCTGGCACACTGAATTTGAGGTTCTCAGCCTTCATCGCTAGGAAGCCCATCATGGGCATCTCAAGCTGATCGATCAGGCTTTGCGCTGTGCACAGCAGGCAGCCCCTGAGGTCACCCTGGAGGGGCTCTCAGTCCTGCAGGGTCTTGGAGAGGCTTCTGTGTGCACAGGAGCCTGGGGTGGGCACAGGATCCTGTAGAGGGAGGCAGTGTGGAGATCTTCCTGGAGGAGGTGGCATCTCGGTGGGCATCGGGAGCCGAAGGGGCCTCACCAGATTTAGAAAGGAGGGAAGGGCGGACCTGGAAGCCAGCCAGGGTGAGTGAGGGTGGAAAGTGGGAGTAGGGAGGGTCTGGTGCATTTAGGTGTGACAGGTGAGCCATGCTGTGGGGCCTCCGGTGACAAAGAACACAAGTGTACCAGTTTGCTGGGTCAGCTGTAGCACGGCAGCAAAGATGTCCTCCCTGTCCTGGAGGCTGTGCTCACTCCCGGTGGGACAGCGAGGCACACGGCCTGTGTGCCAGAGCAGGACGCAGCATGTCTGGAACTCACATTTGCAAGTGCACAAGAGTAAGCAGAGCCCAGGCAGAAATGATCCCAGCCTCATTTATGGAAGGCTCATTTATCACGCCTTCCATTCATCCAGCTCTTGCCATGTTCTCAGGAACTATCTCACTTCCCCTCAGAGCAACCTGTGCAGTTCAGGGTTCTGTCTCCTCTAACAAATGAGACAAGGTCCGAGAGGCACAAACTTGCCCAAAGACACACAGGGAGACAGGGCAGAACCAGGCTGTGCGACACTGGCCAGGTTATCTTAGAGCTCATTCTGCAAGCTTTGCCTTCCAAGGTGCCCTCTGCAGAGGGATCTCAGGGAGAATGAGCTACCTCTGTGTGGAGGAAGGACTCAAAGAAGACTTTTCTGAAGAACTGGCATTTCAGCTAGGTCTTTGAAGGTTGAATAGGAGTTCAGAGTTTCCAGAAGAGTCAGGGGATTCTAGACAGAGGGATGGGATGAGTAAAGGCCTAGAGGCCTTAAAATAGGTTCCTACAAACCAGGATTCCACCTGAGTTCTACTTGCTCATGTGCAAGAAATTCTTTCTCTTCCAGGTGGTCGGGACAGGGCAGGGAGGCCCCTCCTTCTGGTGTCAACTGCAGAGGAGGCCTGGAAGGCACCATGGTGCACAGCCTCAGAGATCACCAAGCTGCTGTCCTACCTGTGCAGCATCCCCAGGTGAGGACCTTGGCCACCCTGACCACTCTGTCCTCTACTGGATCCTCTCAGTCCAAATCACCCGACAGGGCCAAGTGGCGAGGTCCTGGGTCTGCCCATCCTGTGGGGTGCTCCGGGAGGCCAGTGGGACCCAGCGGGACCACACACAGGAAACCAGCTGGGGACAGGTGCCTTTCAGGAAGCTCAGTGTGGTGCTTGAAGTGGATGTTGGGCATCAGTGGTTCTCAAACTTGAGCGAGCACAGCAGTCACTTGTGGGGAGGGGCTGCTCCCCCACATCGCAGAGTTCCTGATTCAGCAGATCTGGGCTGGAGGACCTGGGACTTTGCGTCTCTCACAAGTTTGGCCTGGGGAGACCACACTTGGAGAGCCCCCATCATCCTGGGAAGAGTGCGCTCATTACAACTGGAAACTCAGGACAGACAGGAAGTGGCACTGTGCTTTCCCTTGAGCCCCAGCTCCAGCCAGGACAGCCTTGGGCTGCTGTCACTCAGGACCGCAGCCATAGGCCCCCAGCCCAGCCTGCAGTTGGGCTGCTGGCGTAGGAATGGGACCCTTCGGCATCTGCTCTCTGCCATCGCTGCCCCTGCTGGCCCCTAGATTTGTCTTCCTCTTGTCCAAGGCAGATGGCTTTTCCAGCAGGGATGACGGGACACCCTTTGTGGTGCTGAAAAGCAGCCATTGTGGTTGACAGAACCCAGGAACCCCCCTGACCAGCCGTGTGGCCTTGGGGCAGTAACCTGTCCTTCCTGAGGCTCGCCTGATCAAGGAAATGGCCAGGGGCCACAGGCAGCAGGGGTGAGGGGACCAACAACTGTGAACTTTGGGTCTGCAAACAAATCCTGTTTCCGCACAGGCCTAGGGGTGGGCATGGTGGGGGAAGTGACCTGGCCACCATTTCTTGCTCTGTGCCTCAGTTTCCCTTTCTAGGACAGTAGCAGCAGCAAACACTTACATCCCTCTCACTCTACACAGTGACTGGGTGCTTTTCCTGAACGAACTTATCAGTCTGCACACAGCCCCTCTGGCTGGCACTGTTAGTATTCACTTGTTTCAGAGAAAGCAGCTCGCCCAGGTCGCCAGATACTAAGGGCAGCACCACAACCTGCAACCCTGTGGACTCGGCTAGTTTTGTCTGTGAACTGGGTGATCATGAGGCTTGAGGGAAGTTGGGAGTTATTTCCCAAACCTCTCTGATCATCAGACTGGCCAAGGGCATGGGCAGCCCCATCCAGACCCCTCGGCCCACACACTACCTGCTGACCAGACACATGGGGGTGGCATGGGTGTGCGGTATTTTAACAAGCCCTGGTGGCTGGGCCAGGGTGGGAAGTCCTGGGGAACCACCACAAGGTAGCCCACCCTCAGCCTGGATCATAGAGCTGAACCGGCAGAGGGGGTTTGGCTACAAGTCACCAAAATTCCAATTCAAAGCACCTTATCCACTTAGGAAATGCATCATCGTATGTTTCTGCCTTCTAGCTCTTTCTACGAGCTTTTTAAAAGAGAGGATGTCTCCTTCCCAAGCCTGCAGCCACTTTCCCTCACATTCCATCAGTCAGAAAGATGTCACATGACCTCCATGTCCCCAGTCATTGGCCAGGGAAATTGGGTCACTAATGTGGTTCCCACCAATTAGAAACCACTCTTGGCCTGGGTGTGGTGACGCACACCTGTAATCCCAGTACTTGGGAGGCTGAGACAGGAGAATCACTGTGAGTTCAAGGTCAGCCTGGGCTACATAATGAACTCAAGTCCAGACTGAATAACACAGTGAGACCCTGTCTCAAAAACCAAACCAAACACCTGTGGGAGGTATGGCTGTGTAGAAGCAATGGGATCTCTAGAAGTCCTGGAGGGCTTCCTGGAAGGGCACTGGAACTTGGCCTTGCAGGTGAAGCACTTACCAATCAAGCAAGGCCTCCAGAAGCCAGTTTTCCTGTCACCTAGTAGGGCCATCTGTCCAGTGAGCACCAGGCTACCCAGAAATACTGTTACTTCCACGTCCTATCCACAGGGCAGAAGATAAAGCCAAGGGCCTGGTGGTTGTGATAGATACCAGGAAACAATCCCCACAGCCAGCTCTGGCCAGCGCCCTGCAGGCCACCCAGGTGAGTGGGAGGTAAAGAGCCGCCACGTCTTGGCATCACCAGGGACTCTGACAGGCCTAAGGCCTTGGGCTCAGGATGGAACTAGAGACTTTCAGTGGCAGCTAACGGAAAACACAGTGCAAACAGACTTAAAGACAAACGAGTTCTGGCTATCACTGGACTGCCCAAGCATCGAATCCAGCTGCAGGTACTGCTTGATCCAAGCACTCAAATATTGTCACTGGATGTGGTTTCTCTCTCTCCATTTCTGGCCCTGTCCTCCTGAGAGGGAACTGTACTCCCACAATCCCCCCTGGCCAGCTTTGTGACGGTATGATTCCAGCAGTTCTAAACACACATGGTCTCATTTAAATACAGCAGGAAAGAGTGAGGTCCCAGCAATAGTTTCTTCATGTTCGTTAGTCCCAATGACTTTGGAAATCCCCATGGCCAGAGAACGCAGCCCTCTAATTGGGTCAGCTGGACCCCTAGAACTGAGGGTGTGGAGGGAAGAGGTTCCCAATTAACACTACAGGCAACAGGGTGGGCCGGATTTGGGATGTGCCACTCCTGCTCTGGCCTCCTCATTGGGCAGGTGGAGACACAAGTCACAGGAGTGGGACCCCTGGGAAGGGAGCTTGCACCTGCTGCTCCCCTCCAGACACATCACACAAAAGCCTGGCCCAGGGGACCCCGGGCCCACTGCTGCATTGTGGGGTGTGGGAGCCCTTGAGGGCTTGGCCAGGGCACCCTTGAACAGATCTCTCTGACAGGCTATGGCCCCAGCTGCCCTCGGTACACTGCTCATCCTGGGGGAGAAGGAAGACGCTGTCGCCCTGCAGGTGTCACCTGACATCCAGGTAAGCGGAGGCAGCATGGGAGTGCGAGGGGACTCTCTGGGCAGAGCTGAGTGAGGCGAAGGGCGTGAACAATTGCAGGACTCACGAGCTAGAAGAGGCCTAGACATGATCTGGCGTAGGGAAAAAAATACAAAGTCTGGGGCCACCTCTCTAGTCCTGTCTCCAAATCAGGTGCCACTGCATCAATCAGTGGATTATGAGGCATGATCAAAATATATGGTGAATGTTTAAATTTATAAACATTTACTATAGTGGAAGGCATGTTGCTACTAATCCCCCTCAGCACCTCGCCACATACACACCTGGCCTTGAACGCGCTTATCCCATAATTCTTGCCACTGTCTGAAGCAGCCCCAGAAGCTTTCCCGAGAGCCTTTACAAGGTAAGATCAAAAGTACACCGAGCCCTGGGCCAAGTGCCATCCGGTAGAAAGGCAGCCTCCTAAACACGCGTGCTTGCCGTTATCCTCCTGATTCCCTGGCTCTGGCACCATGCAACTTCTGGTTCATCCCTCAAGTTGAAATTACTGAAGGTAAATGTTTTGAGTTAATTCCGGACGTACAGGCAGCTATAATAGTGCAACTACACACTTCCAAAAGACCACTTCCGGAACTGCGTGGCAAAGTGGCCAGAATGACAGAATGAGACCCTGTCTCAAAAACCAAACCAAGTGTTCTGGGTGAGGAGAACACTTGGAGAATTAATGGCAGTGTGTCTTTTAATGTCATAAATTATTCTGATTTCAGGGCTCACCTCAGTGTTTGATCATACCTCGTGTGTGTCTCTCTGTCATCCCAGCTGTGCCTGGGAGGCACCGCCCAGTGACTGACAGCTGCACGTGGCAGGAGACCTCCTTGACAAGCTGCTTATAGTCAGCCTTCCACCCCTTTCTCAGATGGAGAAACTGAGGGTTAAAGCCACCCAGCAAGCCAGAGCTGGAGTCTCCTGACTCAGGGCCCAGTGCCTCATCTGCCCTGTGGCCGTCTCTGCCTGCATTTCTGTTCCTAATTATTATAAACACAGTTGACTTGGAGCTTTTTGGGAAAGAGCCTGTGGCTGCCTTTAATTGGTGCCATTCACTCTCACAAGAGTGAATGTGGCCACCAGCTCTGCCCTACTTCAACAAGTGATTCACAAGGACCCTTTCTTTCTCCTGTTCATTGAGGAGGCACAGTGTGAGCTAGAGGTGTGCTTAGAGCTTCCAGATTGACTGTCCCGAAAGTGACTCCTAAAACACAGCCCCCCTCTGTGGCGTGCAGGTGCTAATGATCCAGTGACTCTGCATTTCTAACGTGTGCAGAGGCAGTGGTGGTGCTGTTGACCCTCAAGCCACATTTTGAGTAGCAGGGATAACAGACAGGTCTGAAACCCCGCAGAATCAACCCCATCCCAATCCTAGGTCTCTGAGCTATTCTTCACATAAAACCGGAACTTCATTGTATGGCAGAAGCCGTCACCAAGTCCCTTCTCCGTGTCTTAGGGGCACTGTTAGGACTGGTGACCTTTCCTAGCCATCCCAAGGAGGAGGCAGCACCTTGGTGAGTCACCAGGGAACAGTGCAAGGATTATAGGGAGTCTCATCACAGAGCCAGGTTTGATCAATTTGTGTTATTTCCTGGAGAGCTATGTTGGGAAAAAGCCAAGCTCCGAGGGAATAAGTGCTGTGATTGATTAATGATGTCTGCTTTGGGCACAGGCTGGCAGAGTGGTTGTGTATTTGCCCTTTCTTAACCAGAGTCTGGTTCTGAATTTTGATTTTTCTGAAGTCATAGAGCTGGACTGCTGCCAAGGCAGGAATCTAGGCAGACCCTTCTAAATGTCATTCTTCAAGAGTTCTGTGGTCTCCTGAATCACTTCTTTTGTCTGCAGGTGGAGGTGTTGGGCTCACTGACAGCCCTCGGCCACCATGTGGAGCCTAGCCAGTTGCCTGCAGCCCTGGAAGGCCCCTTCCCCTACTGCCACAGCGAGTGGGTGCAATTCTTCCAGGTGTCTACCATCACAGCTTTTGGCCCTCGACTATCACTCTTTTTCTTCTTCCCTTCACTGTCCTGTTATGCACATGTGTCAACCCGGTTGAGTTTAAACAGATTAGTCATTCAACAAGCATGTTTAATGAAGGTGCAGAGTGGAATGAGTAGGAGTTCAGGATCTGGGGCCAGACTACTTGGGTTCTAATCCAGCTCTGCTGTGCGACCTTGAGTAAGCTACTTACATCTCTGAGCCTTGGTTTCCTCTCGGTGAGATGGGAGGGTGTTAATATTACCACTTTATGGGGGCTGGTGTAAGAATTGAGTCAACATGGGTAAGGAGCTTAGTGTCTGGCAGTGCTGTCAGCGGAGCTGTGTTAAGTGAAAGTAGATCTACAGGCATCGATTGTGGGCCCGCAGGACCTGGGAGCTCGGGATGCGTAGGGGAGGAGACACGCAGCCTCCGTCAGAGGGAGGAAATGAGGGAATCACCAGTGCTGGGCTCCTTCCCTGCAGGCTGCAGTCCCTCCCCAGAGCCACCCGACAGGGGCCCTTCGTGTCCAGTTTCACACGCGGGCACAGAGTGGGTGTGACTTGCAGGAGGGCACATGGAACACCACTGGCTTAAGGCACTCAGGGCGCAGCAGCTACAGATGCCGGCCGTGGGCCCTCTCCAGCCGAGGGCCCAAACACAGCCTGGTGAGGGCTGAGGCCAGGTCACACTGTCTCATGTAAGGCGCTACCTTGTGTCCCAGGGCATGTTTAGTAGCGTCCACTCGAAACTCTCGCCACGATTGCCAAATGTCCCCGGGCTGCAAAGTCACCGGGTTGAGAATCGCTAGTCTATATGCCACCAGTCTAACAGGGTGATGTATTTGCTTTTTGCTTAGGGGGCCCTCTTTTTACAGCTGTGCTTGGGTTTGAACAGGCAGGACAGTTGGCCCAGAGTATCTGTGCTTTCTACAGCCGTGGCTCACCCCACTGCAGGCTGAAGACAAAACCTGCCTCTGTGGCAAATAAATGTGCACAGCTTTCTCCTTGTCATTATTCCCTAAACCACAGGTGCAGCAGCTTTTACATAGCGTTTCCATTCCTTTAGGTACCATACAGGGTCCAGGACGCTTTGAGGTACAGGGAGCTTGTGTTGAGGGTGTATGCAGACACTACACCATTTACACGAGGCACTGGAGCACCCCTGGAGCATGGTATCTAAGGGTTCTAGAACCCATGGCCCTCACATGCCAGGGCATGACTGTATCCAAATGCCAATGGTGGGACCTGAGAAACCTCCCTTCCTTGTCTCCAGGCTCCGTTTCCCATTTCCAGAGACCTCCAGTTAATCCAGTAGCTTCTGACTACACTGTAGCTTTCAACAAGTTTTCTTTGCCATGAACTCTTATTTGAACCAGAATATAAAGCTGGTGGTGGTGACAAATTCTGGTAGGCCCTGGGCTCTAAGTGACATGAACAAATGAACCCATAGAATCAGGAACTATGGTGATCCCCATTTCACAGAGGAGGAAGCAAGGGACCAGAAGGCTAAGTAACTTACTCAAGGCCTCACAGCCTGGGCAGAGCTGGGCTGAGGTGGGACCGAGCCAAGGATATGGCCTTCACTCTGCCTTGCCCCACTACAGGGTCCCCCGCTGGCCTTGGGGGTGGCTTTGATCTGTCTTCTTTCTGCCCGACTCGTCCCAACACCAGTGGTTTCAGCCTGATGTGAAGCCTCAAAGCCAGCAGCACCACCATTTTCCAGGAACTTGCTAGAAATGCATGTTCTCATGTCCCCCGAGAGGCGCTGAACGCTGCCCTGACACCTCCCTGTGCGTCCTCCTTGGTGGGCCAGCCTCTCCCTGGCTGGGCCTGATACCCGCTCTGGCCTCTGTCCTGCAGAAGTTGGATCCTTTCCTTTCTGAGCTTCACCGGGCCTCTTCCCTGCTGCAGTCCTCCATCGAGGAGTTTGAGAAGGGTGACCCCCCTGGGGGGGTGCAGGTGAGCCTGGGGCGTGGACTGGGGAAGCCATACCATACCTCACCTCTACAGACCAGGCTCAGAGAAGGGACAGCCGTGGTGGGCAGCAGCATCTTTGTCTTTCATTCATGCACTTGGCTAACACTTGTTGGGCACCTGCTGGGCCAGGCTGACTCACGTCTGCCCTAGCAGAGCTCACAGTGCAGTCATTAAAAAGGTGGTCATTAAAAAGCACCCGAGAAACAGACAGCTAGTTATAGATTGTGCCCAGGTGCCGTGAAAGTAAGACTGAGAACAACAAGAGGACAGTCTCTCCGAAGAGATGCTCTGCAAGTTGATGCCTGAAGCTCAGCAGAGTCTGCCTTGGAGGGGGATGGAGCTCCAGGCAGAGGTTAGCCTCGCACGAAGACCTTGAGAAAGGATAAGGCTTGGCATGTACAGGACTAACATGGAGGCCAGTGGGAAGCAGAGTGCCTAGGAGGCAAGAAGAGGCCACTGAGAGCTCTTGCAGGCCCAGCAGGAGCTAGGTCAGGGAGCTGGCTTGGGGGTCCATCACAAGTGTGCAGAAAAGCGGCTGGAGAATTTTAAGCAAGGGGTGATCTGATTTGCACTTTTTGATCTTTCTGGTTGTCATGTGGAGAACAGACTGTAGGGGGAGCCAGAGGGCAGCAGGGAGATCTGTAGCAAAGAGGTCAGGATGTCGTGTCCCAGCAAGTGACAGGATTTGGATCAGTGAAGTTGCCATGGAGGAGAGGAGGAGTGGCTTGAGGAGATGCACTAGAGAGAAGAGGACACTGGAGGAATTGGTCTTGATGTGGGTAGGCCAGGAAAAAAATGAGGATTGGGCCTCAGTGTACCTTCCTATGCTGGCAGGAGGCCACCAGTTGTCTGAGCAAGTCCAAGGAGCTGATGGAGGCCGTGCTGAGAGACCCAGGCCTGCTACACCTGCAGCAGGAAGGTGGGGCCATGCTGGCCAGGCTGCAATGTGAGGCCAGCAGGCTGGACTCCAGCCCTGACATCAGGTACAGACATCCTGGCCTTTCCCGCCCCCACCGCTCCCTTGTAGCTCCCAGCTGGGAGCTACAAAGCGGGGCACCAGCCGAGGGGAGATGTAGAGCGGGGCCCCTGGAAGTGCAGGGCACATGTCACAGGCTGAAGCCCCATCACCGGTCCCCTATGTGGGCCTTGGCAAGTCCCTTGGGCTTTCCCTGCTTCCCTCCTTCCTCCCGCAGGCATCAGAAGACATCTCTCCACTTCTGCTCAGCCTTGTGGGCCAAGCCCTTCACTGAAACACACTGGGCCAGGCCCCCAAAGCCCCGTTCACTCATCCCTGACAGAAGCCCGTGAAGCCCACGCTGTCCTCCTTTGGAGGATGGTGAAGCAGTAGTGGCCTACTGGGTTCCTAAGGCCAAGACATCTAAACGTGTAACCCTCCACGCCCCGTGTCCCTACCATGTCCCCACCACTGTCACTGGACAGGAGAACTGCAGTGTGTGTGGGTGTCACAGAGAAAAAGATGGACACACCCGTGCCCTCAGGTGGGGGTGAGGGACAGTGCAGTACAGGCATAGCCTCTCCACCCTGAAAAGCAACTCCCAAATGCTCCAAAAACCCAAGTGGAAAACTCATGCCCAAAATTATTAAAAAACATTCTATAAAATTACCTTCAGGCTGTATAGAAGGTAATTATGAAGCATAAATAATTCTTGTATTTACACTTGGGTCCCATCTCTGAGATATTTCAAAACGTGTATGCAGATATACCAAAATACCCCCCCCCCAAATTGGAAATCTGAAACACTTTCGGTTCCAAAAGAAGGGATACTTGATCTGTGATTACAATGATAAATAATTTGAAATATTTTTTCTATTAAAACACAGCTACTTATATTCAGGAGTCAAGAGCAAAGTTCGTATAAACTTTTAAGAACAATTTGCTATTGAGCACATACAGCGTCGTTCTAAGGAATCGCACATATTAACTCATTTAACTCCCGCAGCAGGTCCCAGTAGCATCCTGACATCAGAGCGGAGGAGCCAAGTGACAGGCACAGGGTCACCCAGAGGGATGCGGTGGGACCAGGACTTGAGCCCAGACGCCCTGAACCCAGAATCTTAAACACGGCCCCTTGGGCTGCACCCGGCACTCAGGCAGGCTCACGCAGCTGGGAGCCCAGGCAGGACGGCTGCCGCTGGCACTGTCCCTCCTCGGCTGGTCCCGCCTCACCTTCCCAGCCCGCCCCCGGCCCACCGTGGTCTCTAAGGACCCTCGGTTGCCGTCAGCTCCACTAGGGGGCGCTGTGGGCCCGCGCGAGCGGCTGCCGGACCTGGGCCTGCTGGTCCCTCCCTCTCTCCCTCTGCAGCCTCTCCTGCTGGCATTTCTGGCATTTTCTGTCCATCCGCTGCACTCACTCTAAGCCCTCACCCCTTTTCCAGAAGGTGGAAACCTGTGGGAAGATGCAGTCAGACGTGGAGGGCGAGGCAGGGCATTGCTGGCCTGGAAAAGCAGGCTTTCCTTCCATCTCCTCTCCCCCAAACCCTCTTCTTTTCCTTTCCTTTTCTTCTCTTTTCTTTTTTCTTTCTTTTCTACTCTCCCCTCCCCTCCTCTTTTTTCTTTTCTTTCCCTTATTGCAGCTCTAGGACTGGAAGCCACGCCTCCCACAGGCTAGACAAGTGCTCTACCACTGAGCTACATCTGCAACCCTTTTTTAGGTTTTTTTCATTTTTATATTCATTTAGTTTACTTTGAGACAAGGTCTTGCTAAATTGCCCAGGCAGCCCTTGAACTTGCAATCCTCCTGCCTCAGCCCCCCACATACTGGAATCACCATACCTGGTAGATCTCCTTCTCTTTGTTCTGTGATTCTCCTCTCACCCAGCCATCTCTATGCTGGAAATCCCATCTACTCTGTTTGTGTCTTGTGACTTTGGTTATTTTTTTTAAAGTTTGTGCAGAGACAACTCTGGGCTGGTTTCTATACAGACTGCCATGAATGAGAGTAATAGCCCTCAGTTGGGACCTCAGTTTTCCCACCTGTAAAATGGAGAGGGCCCTGGGCAGCTACCCACCCTCATTGCAATGGAAGTCGTAACCCACTGACCATTGACTTGCGTGGCCGCTGTGTGAAGCACTTTGCTGCATGAGTGTGGTCCTCACTCTGGCCACCCTAGCACCTCCTGAGAGCTTTAAGAGCACCAGGGCCCTGCCTGACAGAGAGAATGACGTGGCTGCCCCCGGTGGAATGTTTCTGTGAGCTCTCAGGGCGGGCTTTAGTGGAGGGCTGAAGCACTGGGTCATTCTGTCTCACTGTTGCTGACTCCACTTTACAGCCGGCAGAGACTGTTTGCACAAACTCCATCCTACACGGTGGCAGGACTGGATCTTGAACCCAGATCTGTCCAGTGGGCTTCGTGCCCTCCTGGGGAAGGGGATGGCATTTCACTTCCTGCTGTATCCTCTGGTCCTCCCAGTTCTGCAGAGGGCCAAGACTGAATCTCAGAGAGGCACAGGAACCTGCCCAAGGTCACACAGCAAGTCAGTAACTAGAAACCCAAGCTAGAATCCCAGACGCGGGGAGCTGGGCTCTGCCAAGCAAAAGTGCTGGGAGGGGCTGGGGAGGCTTCTTCTCATCGTCTTCCACCTCCCAGGAGCCGGCTGGCTGAAGCGGCTGCCCTGTACAGCCTCGTGGATGAGCAGCTTCATGTCCTGGTCACTGCATCCAACCACCTCCTGGGGAGGCTGGAGCTCCGCATCCGCCTGGGCCGCCTGGAGGCTGCCATTCGCCAGGTGAAAGGGCAGACTGGCCGGGGACCCAGGGGCATGATGCCGGGAGCCCAGTCCCAGCTTCTGGGTGTCCAGAGCCTAGACCTTGATTGGGGGTGACAAGATCAGCTGCTATCTTGGCCTTTGTGAGGACACAGTGAGTTAATCTCTGCCCCGTAAGACCCCGCAGAGGAAGCAGGGAACTTCTGCTTCTGGGTAGGAACCCTTTTGTACCCTCTGTCTCTCACTGGATTGTCATGTATACCCCATTTTAGCACTGGTAAACTGAGGCCAGAAGGGGAAGTGACTTGCTGGGCTCACACAGTGAGTTTATGGCAGGCTCAGATCCCTTCCTGTGCAGCCCATTACCTGCCCCCAGGGACAAGGAGCTCATCACCTTGAGGCCACTCATTTGATGACTGAGTGGCAGTGAGTGGTTAGGTAGAATGAGCCAAGACCCAGCACCCTGTGACTGTGTGCAGGACGCCAGGCAAGCCCCCTCCATGCTGGGTCCTGCTGGGCTGGGAGTTTGTTCAGATGGTCAAAGAACACGCCCTTCCCGTGTCTCTTACCCAGAACTGGCAGGTTTCGGGGTGGTGAGTGACTGAGCTCAAGAAGACCTCTGGCTCCTGGAAGTCAGAGGGCTGGAGAACCTGCCCAGCAGCCCCTCATGTCCAAACCTCCCTGCCCAGGTCAGCGACTGGATGGAGCAGGAGGGGAGCCGGTGCCTGCAGGAGCTCACCCCAGAGGACGGGAGTATGGAGACAGTGGCGCGGGCCCACGCTGACTTCGAGGCCTTCTTCCTGAAGGCTGTGGTGCGTTCCAGAGGGGAAGGAGAAGGTGCTGGGGGGGGGGGCTGCTGCTAAGGCCCAAGGGTGCAGGTGGGAAGTGCAAGGAAACCTGCAGAGGGCGGGAGGAATCAGCTGGGACTCCAGAGGATCCCGCTGAGATGTTTCCACCTCCAGGAAGCCTTTCAGATGGCCAAGACCAAGGAACATTCCATCTTAGCGCAATTAGTAAAATGCAGATTCCAAGGCCCAGATATGCTAAGCCAGCTTCAGGGAATGGGTGGGGAGGAGCCAGAGGCACAGGGTGCTCAGCCTGTCCAGCCCTCAGGGGACTCCCAGGCCAGTGGGGAGGGGGGGGGCTGGGGACAATGGGGACAGAGAGAACTGGCAGACACAAAGGAGAAGCCTCAGACTTGGAGGCCGGAGCTTTCCAGAAGGACGTGAACAGCCAAGGCAAAGGCCTGGAGACTAAGGCGCCTTGGCCTCTCTAGGTGTTCGTCACTTGCCAAGGCTGTAAGGGGTGAGAAGGTGAGAACACCCTTCTCTCCCCTCCCAGGCCCAGTACCGCCGCGGCCTGGAGCTGTCCAAGCAGGCAGCCCAACTGGGAGCCGGGAGCCAGGCTGGGGGCCAGGAGCTCCCGGAGCTGGTGGCTTTTGCTGCGACCCAGCGGGCCTTCCAGGCCAAGCTGACCCACTTCTACATGGCGGCTGAGCGGCAGCGCACGGATCTCGACACGCTGCTGCATCTGCATCGCTTCTGCAAGAAGGTGAGCCCTGGGGCCGCCCTGCAGACCCTCCGTGGCTGGTGGTGCAGTGGGGACGGGTGGGAGCCCAGAGACGCCGCCCTCAGCTCTCCGCGTGACTCCGGCCCCAGTCCCATGAGAGGCCAGGGAGGTTGGAACAGATCCATCCTGTGTCTTTCCTTAGAGAAGAGGAAGAGGCAACAGAGAGAGCCTTACCCAGGTGGCATGACGAGGAGGAGGGTGTGTGAAAAGATTAGGTTGCTGGGGGGCTGCTCAGAGCCTTCTGTGAACACCTCACACCCTGACAGGACACCAGTGCTGTTCCCATCGCACAGATCAGAACATTGAGGCCTAAAGAGTGGGTGACTTGCTCAAGGTTAACCAGAGTGTCAGGCATCAAGCAGGATTTAACTTAAGGCCTCCTTCTTAAGATTTGAGAGAGCTTAAACCCATGCAGCTCTCATTTTTCTGAGAGGGAAACTGAGATCTTTGAGGGCAGAGGAGTTGCCTAGAGATCCAGAGCCCTCAGGGCCGGCTCTGTCCAGTGCCCTCGGCTGCCCCTTGAACTTGCCACTTGGGACAGAGCATGGGAATAGCCTGACCTCACACCCCAGCTATGAGGATGGCCGTGCACGCAGGGACGGGGAATGCAGGATGCTCTGGGGCTCACAGGAGGGGCCGGGTCCATGCACCCATGCCAGGGCCAAGGAAGGACAGTGCTCTCTGTGTCCTTGAGGCAGCGGCAGGGCAGGCAGATGTCAGCGGTGACAATGAAGTCACCACACACGCAGCCTTATGGGCTTAGTGAGCAAGGAAGAGGCCGCATCCGGGGCTCAGAGTCAGGGTCACATGTCCTGCGTGGGCTGTGCGACGGTGACAGCAGCCTCACTGCTCTGAGCCCGGCCCCGTGGTGGTGGTGATGCCAGCTGCTGCTTCTCTGGCTCTGATGTGCCAGGCCGTGCCCCAGTCATCTCACACCTGGCTTATTATCCCCACCCCTGTACCAGCGTTGTGCCTGTTTTACACATGAGGGTCTAGAGAGGTCAGCTAACATCCAGGGCCACTCAGCTGCGGGGTGAAGAGCTGAGACTCTGGCTTTAGTGCCTGCCCTTCCAGGCAACGAGAGACTTAGATTAACTGTCAGTAACCTCCAGCATCGGGCCGTTCAACTTAAGGGTCTTCATTAACGTCACTCTTGTTATCTGGAGGAAGAGTAATGCAGGGTTCTGGGCAGCAGGAAGCTTCTTTTCCTTGCTCCTGATTTTTGCCCACTGCAACCCAGCGTCCTTCACTGGATCTACCCAACTTCTTCCAGCTCCAGGGCCTTTGCACATGCTGTTCCCATGCGTTGCCCAGGAAGGGCTTCGCTGGCTGAGCTGGTCTTGTCTTTCCTTCTCCCTTGCTTCTCCAGGCTGCCCATCCTGACCACTGTGCTACCCAGCCCTCCTCTCTCATCAGCCGCTCTGTTGCTTCATGGCTCACTGTGATCTGAAGTGACCCCGCTGCTTTGTCCTGTTCTTGTCTCTCCTGAGGTCCTTTGGAGATGGCCGGCACAGACCGTGCACACTGAGCTGTCATAGGAGGCTGCCTGGGGAGTGGGGAAGAGCGAGAAGAGCAGGCCTGGGTGGCCTGTGAGACGGTGGTGTCTGTGCCAGGCTCAAACTGGCACTGAGGGTGGGGAAGCCTGACTGTGAGCCCGGCTCCAGTGACACTGGCTGTGTGACCAGGCTAGGTGCTGTTCCTCTCTGGTCCAGACCTTTGCTCTCTGCCTCATGGTTTGGGCCAGCTGGTTTTCTGAATCTGTGGTTGTCTGTGTCTGTCCAGGTTGGCTAGAAAGGTTGAATCCCAGACAGACACACAGACAGACAGTCTACCGGAGGTCAGTCAGCCCCAGGTGGGCACCTGTGTGCAGCAGCTTGGCGCTAAACGATAATAACACGATTGTGCCGCTAACAGAGATTTATGGGGCCCCTTCCTGGCTGTGAGCTCCCGTGTAGCCATGAATATGAAGCCATTTATCTAAAGACAAGTTCCCTTAATCCGCGGGAAGACGGTCTCTGCGGAGGAAATGGTTCTGCCATCCCACAGCCGAGCAGCCCGGTGTCGGGCTCTAAATTAATGGAGAGGAAGATTAGGTTTTTCACGAGCTCCTAGGGACATGTGGGCTTCTTTTCAGCCTGTAGATATTTTGTGGAGGAATTGGGACAGGCAGAGTCACAAGATGGGCAGGGGCCCTACCAGAGTGAGAGGCCTCAGGGCCTGGCCAGGTTGACTGTCCTGCCATGCCTGGGCCGGTTTCTCCGTCAGGCCTAACATCTGTCTATCTGGAGAGAACCCACATCCTCCCTGCCTTGCTGTATGACCTGGGGCGTGTTATCTCATTGCCCAGAGCCTCAGTTTCCTCCTCTGTAAAATGGATTGCTGGCACAGTTCAGTTTGATCATGTGTGAGACCCATAGAACCTGGAAAAGAGTTAGCATTTGATCCTTCTTAACCAGACTCCTCCCTCAGCACCTATCGGGGTTAAACCAGTCTAGGAGTTCACATTTACAGCTCTTAGGAGATTTTTTGCAATTACTGCTGCTCCCATTTTCCAGGAGAAATAGCCCCAGAGACGGTGAGCCCTGCTGGACTGTTGGTCTGTCGAAGGTGCCTGCAGAGCCCTAGGGTGCTAAAAGCTGTTGCCACATGGTGGGAGTTTGTAACTCAGGGAAGAAAGGGAAACCCTTGTTATCCTGGTCAACAGAGAAAATTGCCACCGAACAGAAGGTCTCCAAATTTACAGGCACTGGTCTGCTCAGCAGAGCGAGGCCCTTGCAGGGGTGCCTTCTGCTCAGACAGGAGCCTGTCCTTGCAGGGTCCCATGCCCTGACTGCATCTGCCCCTCCCTCTCTCTTGCCCCCAGATGACCTGGTTCCACAAGGACTGTCAGGATCTGGTGAGCCAGCTTAGGCTGGGCAAGGCTAAGAGGGCCAGCCCTGGGGACCAGCGCCGCCTGCACCGTTACCTGCAGCGCCTGGCATCCGAGTTCCCTGCCGAGAAGTTAGCAGCCATGGCATTGCAGGTGACCTCCCTGAGCCAGACAGGCTTGGGCCAGGAGCTGTGGCAGGAGGCCCGAGGGAGACACCAGGAGATTCAGAGCCTGCTGAAGAAGGCACTGGCCCACTGCCCGTGCCTGGTGGACTCTGCTGCCCACTTGGCACCATCAGAACCAAGAGGGGCAGTGGCCAAAGGCTGGGGTCCAAATGGAGAAGTGTTTTCCAAGGGGAGGTGGGACCTGTCCTTACAGGACTCTTTGGGTGTGAATCATTTGCCAAAAGCCTGCTGGCCTCCTTGGGCTGCCAGAAGCCAGCAGAGCAGAACTTTCCAGGTGGACCCTCCATCCTCTGGCCAGGTGGTAGGAGCTGATGATGGCAAAGGCTCTCAGGAGCTTCTGGAGCCCACCCCGGAGCGCTCTCGTGTCACCCTCTTCTCCTGGCAGTGGCTCCCCAGGAAGAGCCAGGTCTCCTGCCCCACCGGGGACAGCTTCTCCTCGGAGGGGACAGACTCACAGACATCCTTGGAGGACTCACCCCAAACAAGCCCACCTGCATCCCTCTAGCTGGAGATGCCCTCCCTTCATCTCCCCAGGCTCTGGGGCGGCTGGCACAAGACTAGCTGGGGGGAAGAGCTGGTCAGTCTCTCAGAGATGTGGCCCCCAAACAGCTGACTGCCAGGAGGATGGGAATTGTGCACCTGCTTCTGGTTCCAGCAAACTCCAGGAAGATGCACCGCTCACACATGCAGAACCAGGGCCTGTGGGAGTCAGGATCCCATACTGATTAGCCCTGTCACTCCAGGGTCTCCTCGTGGAAGTCCTGTTGGTACTGACGCTGCCAAGACTCCCTCTTGGACAGCCTAACACATTCCCCACCCCATCCCCGGGGCACCAGGCCAGCATAGCTCCCCAACAGGACACAACACATGTGGGCTCTTGTCTTAGGTCACCCAGAAACACACCTGGGACAAGGACTCAAGTGAAATGCTTTTGGCAGTGACCCCAGGAGCCAGTGGCAGGGAACAGGACATCAGTCTGTGATGGAATAAAGCAAGGTTGTCGAGCAGATTTCCGTGTGGGTAGCTAGAGCGCCATCCTGCTGGGTCCTGTGGGAGAGAGCGTGGAGCCCTGGAGGGCAGCCCGAGCCTCCAGTGACGACTGCGTGGGTGAGTTTAAGGCACTTAGGAGTTGGCACCCAAGGACCACAGGCTCAGCCTCCAGCTGGGGGTCTCGTTGGAGCGGAAGCCAACTGTGCACTTGCAGGTGAGGGTGAGGGACTCACCCCAGCTCCATCTCACTCAGCTCCTCTAAGGCTAGGGACCCCCTGCTTAGCCAGGGAACCCCAGGGAGTCTCATCATTGTACCCCCCAAAAATCCCACCCCCAAGGTCCGCTCGCTGTCTTCTTCATCTTCCCGCCACATCCCTGATGCAGCATCTCGCGTGGCACCCAGGCCCTCACTCCCCTTTTAGCAGTGTCGTCAGGTGCTGTGGGGGCTGGCGCTGGGGAGGAGAGGGAGCAGCATCCTCACCAGCAGGTGTGGGGAGCAGCAGGAAAAGTCTGGTCCCAGGTAGAGCATCTTGCGAAGGTTCCATGCCTTCATTCAGCTTAGGTAGCGCCCCTTAGTGCCTCCCGTGAGCATCACGATGTTGACAGTGCTGGCCCCATGAATTAGTCTTTGTCACCAGTCTGGCAGCCTAGCCTGAGTTTTCCGGGCCCCAGATGACAGTGTGGGCACACATGATCCATCAGAAGGAGAAGGAGGCCAGGGTTTCTCCAGAGCTGTCTCAGTACAGGGTTACACATACTCAAGGCTCCAGACGGCTGCAGGAACCTCCTGTTAGCCACAAGATTTCTCCAAGTGGGCTGCAGCCTGCCTGCCTAAGAGCCAGGAGCAGAGATGAGCACAGGGCAGCTTTCTGGGGGAGCCCACCCCAGACAATTGAACTCAGACTTGGGGTGCATTTGGAGTCACCTTCTTGATTCTTTACCCTGCTGCTTGAGGAGGTGAGGGGTGTCTTAGTCTGTTTTGTGCTGTGATCATACAACACCGTGGCCTGGAACGGCTGTAGACCAGAGGAGTTTATGTGGCTCGTGGTTCTGCAAGCTGGGAAGTCTGAGCAGAGGGGCCACATCTGCCAAGGGGTTTTTACTGTGTCATAACCTAGCGGAAGGCATCACATGGCAAGAGAGGGACGGGCGGAAGTCATCCTTTACAAAGAGGCCACTCCTGCCCCGCCTCTCAACCCTGGGGAGAGAGTTTCTGACGCGTGAACTGAGGACCCACTGAAACCCTATCAGGGGTGTCCCTAGGGAAATACACCCCAAACCGGCTCTGCCTATCACTTGTCCTCCCCTGCCTTGCACATCCGGACAGGCCCAGGGATGCTCGAAGCATTTGATCAGCCTGTCTCCATCCATGCCTGTCGCCTCAGAGGGGGGTTGAAGGCTCTTAAAATGCTGCTGCCATGGAAACAGGATGTAGCCAGTGGGGACCACAGGCAGGGAGCTGGAGAACTGGGGTGCTAGGATGGAAACTGATTGAGAGACCGTAGCTGCTTCAAGGGAGGAGGGGGCTATAGGGCGATGGGTGGAAGGGGTCCCAAATGCTACCTCACGCATCCTTCTGCCTCACAAAGAACTGTAGGCCAATAACTTCTCTACACGCAGGCAGCCCCAGGGGAGAGGTTGCTGAAATGGAGTGTAATAGTGAATGATATATAAATGTCACACCAAGAGCGGACATTGGTTCTGCATTTTCATTGTGCCTGGTTTTGTGCTAAAAGGCTTTAGGGGCTTGTTGAATGCTTCACAAAAGCTTCACAAAGCTGGTACTAGCTCTCCTTCATTTTCCTAAGGAGGAAACTGGGGTCCAGAGTTGCTTGGAGGTGACTTGCCCAGGGTCACAGTGAGCAGTAGAGCTGGATTTACACAATGCCTGGACCGCTGTGTGGCAAGCCCCGGCTGACTGTTTCCTGAATCTTCCTGAATTGTCTCTCAGAGCCCAAAGGGGTCTTGCTTAATGGCCTTGGCCCAAACCTGCCACCCCCGCTCATGGCAATTCCCTCAAGAATGACCCCACAGATTTAAGTCAGCAAAGCCTCAGCCCCGAAGGGGTCGGTCTGAGGAGGCCGAGGCCACCAATCCTCTGTCGGACTTCACAACAGAATTCACGGTCTGCTGGTGAGAAGACAATGTTTATAAAGGAGCACGCGTCTGCCTGTGCCATGCTGGAGCCTTCACCTTTGGGACCTCCTTCAGGCTTGGATTGCAGGCCAAGGGGCAATGACAGGAGGCAAGGCCTCAGGGCTATTTTGCCTGAGGTGACCCCAGAGAGGTGGCTTCTTCTCTCTAAGGCTTGGTTTCCCCCATCCATCCAGTGCAGACTTAGCATGAATAACGGTCATTCTCACCTCGGAATCAAGACCCTCCTGAATCTAGGTTCAGTAGCTGGGTGCCTGATATATGGCTGCCCTCTAGCTCTCCATCCTTTCACTGAGCTTGTCAAGCCTGCTGAGGCAGGATGAGATCTCTGGGTCCCTGAGCACGACCCCAGCTTTCTCCACTTCAGAGGAGTGGTGTCCTGTGAAGGAGTAAAGCTTTGAGAGTCTGCTGGGTGGCGATGTGAGGCAAACACAGAGGGACTGAGCGCAAACAGAAGTCTCAGCACTTTACCATTTACAAATCATCCTTTAGTCTATTAATTTTCTCATCTGATACTTGCTTCAACACTGAGGAGCATGGGAGTCACACTATTCCCATTTTGCAGATGAGAAGACTGAGTCTGCAGAGGGGGGAAATGTCCCAAGGTCACACAGCTAGGAAAACGTTAGCCAGGAAAACCTCAGGCCTGCACATCCTGATCAGGGCCATGCTCCCCAAGAGAGCAGATACACATCTGGAGGTGGGGTATACCTTCACCTGAGTAGTCATCTGCTTGAGGGGCCTCACTCTCTTCTGCCCCCCAGTTGCCCACTGCAGACCCAGATGGGATGGCTGTCCAGGGTCGAGCACAGTCTGCCCTCATGACACAGAGCTCCTATGTTCTCTAGAGGTTGTGAACTGGCATTGAGCCCAAGCCGAGCCCATCCGGCCTGAAGCCCACACTTTCTCCACTGGGAAGTAGCTCTCAGGGGCTGGGGTCCAAGAGCTCCTGGTGACTGTGGCTCTGGTTGGACAGGAGACTCCTGGATCCCATTCCCCAAGGCTCAAGCCATTTTGGGGGCTCTGGGTGGTAAACGACTGTAGCCCCTCAGGTCTCATTTTCTCTTCTGTGAAATGGGCCATGATAGTGGGATAAATAAGAGATATAAAAGTGATCTCTGTCCCTGGCTCCTGGCTCACAGGTCCTAAAATCCCTGGGATTTCCAGAGTGGTAAGAGTGCCTTTTGTACACTGGTGAGATGAATGGTGGCCCCTGTGTGCTTTGGGATAGGAGCTGCTCACCAGAAGACCGAGGCAGGTTACAGGTGGGACCTCTCACCCATCTCAGTCCTCCCCGGCGGGGAGGGCCGAGGGTTGAATTGGTCACCAGTGGCCACTGCTTCTTCAATTATGATTGTGATGAATTTGATATTAAAAAGCCAACAGGATTGGATCCAGAGAGCTTCCCGGAGCTGAACACAGGAGATGCTGCAGGCAGCAGGTCCAAGGAGGGCGTGGAAACTTTGTGCCCTCTTCCCACCGGCTTGCTGCAGCCTCTTCCATCTGGGCCCTTTGTAGTATCTTCTATAACAAGCCGGTGGACACTACCATTTCCTACGTTCCTTCAGCTGCTCCAGCATAGTAACTGAACCCAGGGAGGGGGAATGGGAACCCCAATTTATAATCTGTTGGTCAGAAATGCAAGTTATAGCCCTGAGCTTGTGACTGGTATCTGAAATGAAGACAGTTTTGCAGGATTGAGCCTTTAACCTGTGGAATCTGACTCTAATTCCACGTAGATAATGTTAAATTGAATTGTAAGACAACTAGTTGGTGCCCACGGGAGGATTGCTTGGTGCATTGGAATACACACACACACATACACACACACAAAATGTCTTAGACACAGAAGTCTTCTATTGGGGCTGGGGATTTAGCTCAGTGGTAGCACCTGCCTGGCAAGTGTGAGGTCATGAGTTCAATCTCTAGTAACACCAAAAAAAAAAAAAAAAAAAAAAAAAACCAAAAAACGAAATATTCTATGTTGTGTAACTATGGAAGAGAGTAAAAAATGGCTTGTTTTTTTCCTTCAGAGGGTAGATCAGACCAGCCCTGGGGAGTGGAGATCCTGATCTGCCTCTCAATCCTGTCTCCTTTCCACACATTGGCCATTGATCTGGGTTTCTGGATGGAAAGCCACAAATTGTCCTTGAACCTCCCCAGAGCCCCTAAATGCACTGGGAAAATCAAAGGAAAAAGTGACAATGAAAACAACTTGAAAAGCCTTTAAACTGGGCGTGGTGGCGCCTATCTATAATCCTAGCTCTTTGGAGGCTGAGGCAGGAGGATCGTGGCAAATTTGAGGCCAGCCTGGGCTACAAAGTGAGCACAAGGCCAGCCTGAACTGCAAAAGCAAAATCCTGTCTCAAAAAGACCAAAAAAAAAAAGGTCTTTTAAAGAGTCAGGAAGCCACCAAGGCGGGAGAACTAGAGCACAATGCCAGTTGTACCCGCAGTGTGAACGCCAGGTAATTTTGAACGCAGGCTACCAGAACAGATGGTCACACTGTGCCCGAGACTTGGAGTGTACGTCAGAGGGGCATCAGACTCACGTTCTGTGGACTCTGAATGCACACACTTCCTCTGTGTGTCCAGCCTTTTCTTATTTTTCTATTGGTCATGTGGCTGCTGTGCCTGTTTTCAAGCCCAGTAGGGGCTTCCCCACAAAGGAATTGTTATTAGTGTGTCATGAGTCACACATAAACTGCCACCCTGGTATCTTTGGGATACTGATTCAGAGATATAAGAACTTGTATTTAGCAACTCCTTAGACTCTAAATAAAGCCCTTTTGTTCTTACTGTGTCTGACTTAGAGCTGATTATCACCCGCACCCCATATCTAATCTCCCTCTGGCCTCCCTTTTTA